CCTGGCGATCCGGGGACAATAGGCATTGACCCAATGGCCTTCACATGCCTTGACATGGTCTTGGAAATACCTCTTAAGCGCTGCGTGGTTCTAGACGTGGCCGCCTCCTCGAAGCTCAAGCGGTCCTCCGCACAGAGCACCAGCATACTTTTCATGTTCACGCTCACACTCTGCATGGAATGCATGGAATGTGGTGGTGTGGTGGTGCGATGGTGTGGTGGTGTGGTGGTGTGGTGGTGTGGTGTGAAGTGGTATGGTGCGGTATGATGTGGTATGGTGTGGTATGGTTTGGTATGGGGTGGTATGGTGTGGCATGGAGTGGCATGGAGTGGTATGGCGTGGTATGGTGGTGTGGTGTGGTGGTGCGGGGTCTGCCGGTGAGGCGGAGTGGCGGTGTGGCGGAATGGCGGTGTGCGGTCGTGGTGTGGTGGTGTGGTGGTGTGGCGGTGGTATGGTGGTGGTGGTTGTGGTGCGGTGTGGTGATGTGGTGGTGTGGTGGCGTGGTTTGGTGGTGTGCCGGTGTGGTGGTGTTGCGGTGGTGTGGTGTGGTGGTGCGGTGGTCTGTGGTGTCATGGTGTGGTGGCGCGGTGGGGCGGTGGTGTGGGGGTGCAGTGGTGTGGTGGTGTCATGGTGTGGTGGCGCGGTGGGGTGGTGGGGCGGGTGTGTAGTGGTGTGGTGGTGTCATGGTGTGGTGGCGCGGTGGGGTGGTGGGGCGGGTGTGTGGTGGTGTGGTGATGCTGTGGTGCGGTGGTATGGCTTCCTTGAGGCTCAAGGATGCCAGTCTTGACCAGCAGCGATGTCAGCTCTTTTCCCTTCTTTGCAATGAAGCATTGCAACCAGGTTCTGAGCGCGATCCTGCAAAAACAAGATGTTACTTCCTTGTAGTCAGGCTCGTACGCTAATCCTAACAGTTAAAGCTCACGATACCTAAGATTCCAGTACGTCATGCCGACTAAATTCAAAGTAGCAAGGTTTAGTTTAGGGTTTAAGGTCTCAGGCTTGAATTTAAAGTATGCATCGTCAGATTTTAACAGCAGTTCCGAACAAACAGCCCAAGCATAAAGAAAACCACCCTCAGCATAAGGAGAAGCCCATGGCGGACTGGATTCAACAACACAGCAGCGTAAAAATACGCACCCCCAGAATAAATACAGAAACCACAGCATAAACTCAAGAACCGTGCCAGCCCTGGAAGCATAATATGAACAAACTAGAAACAAATGGCCGAGCATAAGGGAAAAAACCTACAGCATAAAAAATACGCAGCCCAATATACTACATTATAGAAGAGTAGACTATACTGTAGTATAGCATATTGTAACATAGTATACGATATGATAGTATATTATACTTCTAATATATTATACTATATTATCTTATAGTATTGGTAGCATTCTCTCAGCGCCGGCAAAGCTTTCCCGCGAAGCTCGGCCCTTCCAGCCGGACTGTGTACAGCTTTGCTGAATTATACTTTATACTTCGAGGCCATGTGCTCAGGTAAGAACGTGTAAGAATTGTTTCCTGTGCAGCACGACACCTCATCCTTTACCAGTGCTCTAGCAGCAACTGGCTGCTCACATACGCGGGGGGCTCCGTTCGTCCCCGCTGAAAATGCCCGGCTAGATCCTCACTAGAAGTCTTCCGCCCTCCTGTCCCATCTGCATGGTCAGACTTGTTTCCACCCACTGAACCACTGAACTGTGAGTTCCTCTCCGCAAATGCGGCCATTGGTTTTGTGTCAGCCCCGGCAATTAACAAGCTGTGTGAAAGGGAGATCGTGAAGCCACATGTGTCTGCAATGCCAAATCCGCCAGTGCTTTTGGACCCAAGCATTCTCATGTCTCTCCTCTCAAGTTGAAGAGGCCGTGCACAGATTTCTGCGTCCCCGGCCCATGTTGAGCAGGCGCCGCTTCAGACAAACAACTTTGCTATGTACACATGTGCGCTGTACAAAATGTGGGAGAGCTCAAATCAGCACTCCTCCCTAGACAAACCATGACGCTTCAGCTTGGACACAAGGTAAACTGCTGAAGAATTGCAGCAAGCTGGGCTTCCAAAATTGTCAGTTTCTCTGGTCATGCGAGCTTCAGAAGTGGGTGAGATTCCCACAGGCAGCGCCGGCAGAAGCAGGGAATCTGTGGACCTTTGCCTCAGGCATAATTGACAGTGCGACGGAGGAATCCCTACGTGGGACGTGTCACTACAAATATCACACATGCACCAAGACATGGCTGAAAAGGCAACTTCACCAGTTCCAAGTCACACATTTCCGATCTGTACTGCTCCTACACCACGGTGCGACAACGTGACATGAGGTGCGCTTGTCACGTGCTCTGACTTTCCCAGACCCCCAAGAGGATCTTAAAAATTAGATCCCCTAGAACCATAGGGGGAATCATATAAGGATTATATAGGGGTTATAATGGGTCTAAATAGGGGATCTCATTTTTAGATCATCTTAGGGGTCTGACTTTTCCTGTCTACCACGTCTCCTCCAGCCCGTCGGATACTAGCTGGCCACGGAACCCGCGGCGAAAGCGATAAGTCAACACAGCCTCGATTGAGACCTCACGATCCGACATGCAGCATCCAAACAGTCATGTATATTATACTTTATTATAGTATAAGATACTATAGTATACTATATTGTAACATAATTTCTCATACTAGAATATACTGCAGTATGTTATGCTTCCTTATGCCAGCAGTGAAAAGACCCAAACCTTGACTTGCAGCGGGGAGCATGCCCGTGACGTCCACGCGGATCTCTCGGGGAAGGGCTCGCAGCACCACATATTTGCGGCAGTCCTGGCGGATCTCTGTCTACACGGATAATTCTGATGGCTCGGGTTCCCCAGCCAATGCTTCATATTGAAAAGATTTGGCTTGCGTGTAGAGCAATGCAGAGGCCTGGAATGCACTGTTAGCATGAATTCTGAGCTCACGCTCTAAAGTCGTTCGTGCGTGCGTGTAGTTTCTTGTAAGTCCTGCAGTGGAGACCCGAGGCATCTCTCCTCAGCTGTAGCTGCCCATCCCGTGACAGCTGCAAACAGTAGGAGCTGCTACCTGGTAACTTGAAGGCATGCGGCTATAGCCCCGGCAAAGGGGATGAAGCCAGCAGCACTTGCTGTCTTGCAGTAGCTGCCGAAGAAATTCCTCAGCTTAGGTGCAGCTTGAGTTTCTGCACCTCGTGCAGGACCGCAGCTCTTGGAAACTACATGACAAGAGTGCCCAACTCCAGAACAGAACAAACCGCTAGAGCAGCACGAACAACAGCGCAAAGCAATTTCCTCGCCCCGGGACAACTCACAAGGTAGCCAGACAAGGCACCTCTTCATCCTCGGACTCCGACCTTCTCTGAGATGCAAAAGCTTCACTGTTGCATCATCTTTAAGTCAGTGGTGATGGCACTGTGACTGGGCCCGCGGCGCACTATCCTCAAAGCCTCGCCGGCTTACATTGATGTCTGAAATCTCAACCCGCAAGTCTCAGTCTGGCGCTCATTTTCATACTGGCAGGGACTCTGTGAACACAGATAGAGGCAGGTTCCAAAACTTGCCTCCACTGATGATTCTGATTGTGGATTGTTCCTGCAGACAGAATCACTGCTTCCGTCGCTGACTATGGCAAGGACAAATTCCTCAGCGCATGGTTACATTCGTGTCCTGAGCGAGCGCATCCCATGCGGCGAGGGAATCGCTCTCTCTGCCTTCGCCTTGAGCAGGTTTTGATCTGTGCCACCGGCTTTTGATAACAGAGGGCACAATTAATATTCCTACCCCAAAATACTACTCGCCACCCACGCTCAAACATGCAGCAATCCCTATAAGAGACGCTATATACCACGTGTACAAACACACTCACCTATGCAAAAACGCGCGGAATGTCTGAGTATGGGGGTCAATAATCGTACCTTTGACCCTGACAGATCTGGCCTTCCTTGTCCATGGTTGGGGTGTCTGCAAAGAGTCCACGCAAAGTCGTCTCCTCTTCGCCTGAGCTTCGGGCAGCAACATGCAGCACCACCAGCCTCCGAAGGTGCATACTTACATTGCCGCCAGGGCACTCCACTCATCTTCGTCCTAGCAAAACACATAGGGAACAAAACAGTAGTAATTGTAATAGAAATACTAGTCAAGATATTAATTGTAGTAATAACTGGATAATCTACAAACATCAAGCCATCCCTCCTGCTTGCAGAGGCTTCGAACGACGTCAACCACTGTCAACGCATCCTCGCCGGAATCACCTCCGAAATCATGATGCAAGGCTGAATGAGTACTTTCATGGTGAAAGCACGGAACAGCCGTCTCCATAAATGTAGCTGAGGGCGCAACCCAGTCCGAAGGGGTCCTTCGGCAGAAGTCTACTGATGTGCCGTACAGCTGATCAAAAAAGATGGCAAGCATTTTGCAACATCTGCTCCTCATCTGCTAGCTCATGAGCCTCCTGGACCGTTGCCGCACAAGTTGTGAGGAGAACCCAAGCGTTTGGAAAATCCGGGCCTCCTCTGCTTCCTTTCGGTTGATGGGCTTGGTCCAGTCTGCAGCCTCTGTACACAAGCATGCATAAACTCTTTAGCGCAATCGCCGTGCTCAACTCCAAGCAGAGACTGCTTCTCTCTGGCGAATCTGTGCGGCCATCTCTTCTGCCGGAGTATCTTTTAGCAGATGAGAGACTGCCAGCTAGGGTCAGTCTGGACAAGGCAGCTGCGGCGCAAGACCAAGGTGAACCAAGCTCTGGAACGAGAGCTATAATCTGCTAACTTTCTTCTCAGGCCGCACCGACGGCGGAAGACCACGATCTTTGCCGAAGCCTGGGAAGCGCTACAAGTCAGAGATCCACGTGCTTTAGCAGTCACAGGCAAGCCAGAAGCGCAGAAAGCTATTGCAGGCCGGCGACGAATCAAGCCTTCCTGTGTGCAGCTCACCACCTAAGCTGCTGGAACCTCTGTCGCCCCCTCAGGATGCCTGATGACGCTTTGCAACATGATTCTTGTGACTGGCCCAGCAACCAGCCAGCCATCTCGTGTGAAGATATGCCCATGGGACAATCCCCGAGCTCCAGTCAGGCGTGGTGAATACATTGCCTGGGTTTGATGCGGGGCTCCTTCAGCATAGGCGCACCCTATGGATGTTGGAGGATGATACTATTACTATTACTATTACTATTATTACTATTCTTATTATTACTATTTTTCTATTTGTATTCTTATTACTATTATTATTGCTATTATTATTATTGTTATAGAATGACTGCAAATAGGGGTCGCCCTTCAGGATTGCATGGGGGGATACTTTGAGAAAACTTCACGTGGCTTCCCAGATGCTTGCATCATCTTAGGCCTGACTTGGTAGCTTCCCAAAATAAGGGGACCCCCATATAGACCCCAATATGCTTTCATCCTTAATATGGGGACCCCCTTAAAAAGTACCCCCTAATTTTGGGAAACCCTAACTTGGCTTTCTAGGTTACAGGACCTATTGCAACACATCTTGTAAATGAGCTTGCGACGTAGAGCAGCCACTCGTCGGCACGCCATCTTGGAAACGCGTGGTGGAACCACATGGCCTCAGCAAACGAGCAGCTGGAGGCTGGAGAACGACACCCTTTTGAACCCTCACATCCAATACCGGCAGCTTATACCAAGTTAAGCAGCTTCAATCACATGCAGCAGATGGCTACACACGAATTCGATTCCTTCATCTTTCAAATGTTTCTGCGCTCTTCCTTCGGGGTCTACTATCCAAAGCCCAGTGAAAGCTTATCAGGCGAGACAAGTCGCATGATCCAACGAAGCCATCATAGGCCGAGCTTCCCAGAAAGTTTTCCAGGACATCTCAACTCTGGCCGTGCCTGCAGTGCGAGACCATCTTTTGTCGTGGATGTCAAAGCGTGCGTCTCACATATTTCGCACAAGCTCAAACCTTATTTTTACTCTTAGTATTATGACTGTTTCGGCAGCATCTGGGGCCGCTGCTCAGCAGCCCTGCATCACTCTGATAGGCCAAGACTGCATGATGAACATGCTCCTCAGACTGACTTACTAGGTGTCGGCATGGAATGGGGAATATATTACATAGACATAGAGGCTATTAAGGGATTATAACCCCTAGACTGGTTTGCTGCTTAGAAATTTTAATTAAGTTACTATAAGGACACCCCGTTGCTTTACTATATGCCTACATTATGGCAACTTAATTCAAATTCCTTAACAGCAACCAAGCAGACTGAGGGCGCATGGAGACTAGATTCCGAAAAGGGAGGTTGTGGCTTTTAGTTTCCAGGAAGCTTTATCTGCGGCTTCTTGAGTGTTTGGAGCAACTAGGAGACTGAAAATCGTATCCCGACTGGAGGTTATTTGCATGCTTTTCCACGTATCACGCTACATACTGGCAGGGGGGTACTTGCAGCCATTGAATTAGTGCTGTTAGTGGGCGTGCTGAGCACTGCCGCGGCTGCCGCCGCCTCGAAGTTGCATTAAAGTACATCGCCCTAAGCCCTAAACTCTTGACTGGATGGCGTTGCAAACCCGCCTGCAGAACCTGCACCTCAAAGACCCCCACTTTGCTTGGGGGTTGGGGCGAGAGTCATCATCAGGTAATCGCTGGCGAACTTTGAACCAAAGCAGCTGAGATGGCATACCCAAACCGGATAGTGCATATCTGGCCCGATTCCGCTTGGCTTCTTCGGTGTTCCTTAGAACTTCTGGATGGCATCTTGGCTTTGGAGGACAGACTCACACATGCGAACTCAAGCCCCGCGCCAGTTAAGCGCATCCAGAACAACGCGGACATCAATCGGATTGACCGGATATTTCTTCCTGGCGAGAAATATATGTGATAAATGAATATATCGGAATATAGACACATACATACATACATACCTACATACATGAATACATGAATATCTCTCTCGGTATATGTATATAGATAGACCTAGATGACCACAAGAAGGAAATATACCTGATGGCTTCTGACATCCCCGGCCTGTTCTTCAGAATCCATTTGGCCAAGGGCTGAATCTCCTGGGTTGTTGTTAAGGAACTTAATTTAAGCTACCACAGTATGGGTATATATATATATAGTAAAGAACAAGGTTTCTTGATTTAAGTTACCATATTATTGGCATATAACAGTTGGATTTCCTATGATTTCCTTATTATAACAGTCTTTGAAGTAAAGTTACTTAAAAGCAGCCCAGTCTCTGGATCGTGTAGGAGCTGCTCAAAGCGCTGATCCTCCTCAGCACTCAGAGACTGATAGGTGGGCACAGTGTCTTCTTCTGACAAGCTCGGCAGCGAATCCTGTCAATTTTGCAAGATGTGCAGCTGCTGAACATGTACTGCTCCGTACGTGCGACCTTGCTGGTGCAGACATGCCGCGGTCGGCAAGGATTCCGGATCCGGAACTTCTGGCATCAACGCTTGGTGGCATACCGAGTAGCCTGAAAGAGAATGAGAATTATTGCCGCGAGATGTAGGCATACCACCCCAAACCCCCTAAAGGATCCAAAAAAGGTACACCCCTCTAAATTATAACCCAATACAACATTTGGGAAACTAGGTTCCAATTTTTGGATCCTTTAAGGGGGTCTGGGACACTGTGGCGGCCGTGACGACAAGGCGTTAAAACAGCCCCAGCCTTCTGGACGCTGAAAGCTGGCTTGCATCGTGAAAATCCTAAGTGTCGAGCTTTGGGACCGCCAAGCTGCAATAGTCCTTCTAGGGTGAATGGAGTCAGGTATATGGTAGTTTCCCTAAATAGGGGGACCCCAATATAGACCCCCAAATACTATAGTCCTTATTATGGGGACCCCCAAAATGGTACCCCTAATTTTAGGAAACCCCCATATTGGGTTATGGGGGGATTTGCCGTGAGAGCAATATGCAATGAAACCGACTTTTGGTGACCGGAAACCCCTGATGAATCGTGCTGAGGCACCAGTCTCCATTTTGTCGGGCCGCCACAGATCGTGTGGCAAAGCTGTTGCCGTCTCGAATTCTTCCAATGTCCTTAAGAAACTTAACTGAACATCCCAGCAAACAAGCAATCCGTCCTTGAGCTCACTACAGCAAGCAGTTCGGTCTTGACAGCGCCAGGAGTAGCGCATAAGTGCACACACAGCCCAGCGTTGAACAGTCAGCTGAGTTTTGGGCGTATACGATCGGATGCTCAGGTTGACCAGCTCGGACAAAGTAAGCATGCAAACCTGGCTTCTAAGCGAATGAACTCCTGATTTGTTGTGAATTAGCCACGGCCGTCATGGGCCTTCGGAGAAACCGCAATGTTGCACAAGCATACACGCACACACTCGTACACCTAATGTCCCACGATTCCTCAGGGCCTGTTCTATATTCTGGCGCTGTAGGAGGCTTGCGGGGTTTTGCCTGTAGCGCGGGCGAATCCCAAGAATCCAAGTCTTTTGGGGCCACGGCCCGTATGCTGCTATAAGTATGACTATGACTGCGGACATTTCAGCAGAAGGGTGGCTTCATTAGCGCCGCAAATGCAGCGAACTAGTTTTCAGCAGCATTTTTTCTTGAACCTGAAACGCCAGGTCCGGGAAAGTGGAAAAGATTGGCTTGAGAGCAAATGGAGTCTCTCATAATGACTACAATCGTGTGGTTGTGATATAAGTATTAGGGGGGGCGCAATGAAAGTCAGGGAGACAGAGAGAGACAGAGAGAGAGAGAGAGAGAGAGAGAGGAGAAACAAATTCTGCAGCTTGGAATCCTATTCGCCTATATTCGCATGAAAACCACTACTGATTGAGGCAGGCGGCTGTGCAGAGAGAGGCCGGATGCCTTGCAGATGCAGAACATTGGGGGCTCTTCAAGCGTTATGTCAATGTTGGGAGTCATGAAAGGGAAATCCAAACTTCTCAGGAAATGCAGAGATTCCTGATCCCTGCTTGCAATTTTGCCAAGCTTCTGACATTCCATTGTTGTCTAGAACCTGCGGAGCTGCCTGCCTGCTCAGAAGCTACGGAAGCCTTTCGGATGATGGAAAAATCCAGGGAAACTACCTTAGGGTTTAGGGTTTAGGGATAACGGAAAAGAAAAAAGAAACTACTACATGTATATATATATATGTATATAGATATATTGGGGCTATATTGGGATAATGGAAAAAATGGAAAGTACCGTATTACCGGGTCCCTCATCTGTAACACACAACACATTGAAGAGCACAAATTGTATGGGCCAGCAATTTGGATTGCAAGGCAGCTTCCCACACCATCACCCGCATTGGAAACTGTTCGGAGATCCGTAATTACCTGTTCAATCTTCTGCGAGCTTCTGGTTCGAAACCCAACAAAGTTTAGATCAAATGTGCAGGATTGTCTCCCAGTGGCACAGCATCAAAATCATCAGCGTGTATCGCTGACGTCAAAAAACAAGTTCTTCATATGCTGCAACTAGCGAGCCCAAATGGACCGAAGGGGCAAGCCAAGGCATCTAGCTTTCTGAAATCAGTTACAAGTCGCTTCATGGGGTCCTTCAGTTTTAGACTTATACATTTAGCTAGGCACCCCACTTGCAGTCTGGGTTGTTGCCTCCGATGTTGCACTTTGAGGCTACACCCTACTTTACAATGGATAATGGTGAGTGCAATAGCGAGAACAACCATAAACAGGAAAAGCAATGTTGTCACCCATGCTTGGAAGCATGGTGCTGCTCATGTTGGATCCCGGAAAGCAACGAACATGACATCCATGCCGGCATGAACTCCCAGACATGTTGCTGGCCTGGAAGTCTCCACGGGCTAAACCTTGAACCTAAATCCCGAAGCCCCAACACCCTTACCCAAAGCTTTCAATCCGAGCATCAACTGTCTGGCTGGCAGCGGCCAACGCCTGCCCCAGCACCTCCACGAACGTAGATTCAATGGGTAGTTTCCAGGTCCTTTTCTAGTGAAAATAGCAAGAGCAACACCGTCTACAACATAATATTGGTGGCGGTGATGAAAACAATTATGATATTGACACTGACACTGACGATGACAGGGATGAAGACTATGAAGATGATGCTGACGTCGCTTAGTAGCCGTCGTCGCCGCCGCGGGGGTGGTGGTGGTGGCGGTGGGTGCCATGTTGATTTTGACGGTACACTGACGTGGCATTCGGTCTTCGAAAAGCCCACGACGAGTGTAATTTCTTGCGACCAGAAGGCTTCCCAGCCAAGTGCCATAAACGGCATGTTTTCGGCTCTTGAAATCTTGCAGGTTTGGCCATGTCACATCGTTGTCGGTTGTGTTCCAAGTTTGGGCACAGAGCCGAAACATCACCAAGCTATGCTGGCAAATTGGTCCGTGAGCTGAAAGCCAAGCTGTGTGCGCAGCAGAAGGCGCAGAACCCGTACCATGGGACAGGTCTGGCATCCAGGCAGGTGTTGGGCAGGGGGTTTGGAGCTTCAGGGTTTCCAGCACATGTTGATTTTTGTTCGCAATCATGCCTATTGGTCTTGTTAATATGGTTAGTATGCTGTTGGCATGGGAATGTGCAGGGAGCATTCAACTTCGGAGCTTGACGTGCCATACTCATAAACAGTCGTTACTCTTATGTTGTTGTTGTCATCGGTCTTGTTAGTTTATCATTTCAAGTCTGTTGTGCCTGTTAGTATGGTTGTTATGGCCCCGTCATGGAGTGGGGATAGAAAACTTCAGAAGTTGATGTGCCATGCTCATAAACAATCTTTACTCCTGATGGTGTTGTTGTCACTGGTTTTGGTCGTTTATCATTATAAGCCTTTTATGCTTGTTATTTGGTAATTATGGTCCAAGTATGGTGTGGGGATAGGAATGTGCAGGGAGCAAAAACTTAAGAGTTCTATGTGCCATGCTCATAAAGCACTTTAACTCCTGATGTTGTTGTTGTTGTTGTCACTGATTTTGGTCGTTTGTCATTCTAAGCCTGTTATGCTTGTTATTGACCGCAACCTTGACGTGGCGAGAGCGTACGAATCTAATTACTCCTCCTCTTCCTCTTGCGGCAGCGTTCAAGCAACAGCCAACCTGCTTGATCGCTGGGCATATCGAATATCTAACATCAGTGCTCCAGCTGCTGCAAAGGGAACGATCAAAAGGTGAGGAAATTGCACCCGAATGCTTCTACCGGTGGCTGTGCTGCTTGGTGGGATCTTATAACTTGTCTTGACTGATCAGAACGAGATAGCGCAACGCTATGAGCCGTGGATGTCGGACGAAGTGAGGACTGTTAGCGGCTAGTCGTAGATTGAAAAGAAGGGGCCAATCCCTTCATTCAGTTGAGCTATAGTCTACACTCCTAGTATCCCCCTTAGTAACCCCTAAAGTACTCCCCCATATACATATATATATATATGGGCGTTGCCCAAAATTACTT